TACCCTTCATCGGTTTCATTTATGATATCGCAGATCTCCATGTTGAGGGTCCAGTCCTCATTCTGTAGGCCTCCATCTGTTGCTCTCTCTGGAGGAAAACACAAAGAGTTCAACTGTTATGTTAATAAGCTAACTGCAGTGTACGGTCTATGCAAAAGGCAAGGTTTGAGTGACACAAATTATGATTGTTAGGATGTCAGTTAAAATAAGTTACCACTTATAACAAGAGACACATCAGTATATACAATAAGTTCAGACTCAGTTGTGCAACGACACAAAATGTGACTATTGCAGAATAATAAGTTGTGGACATTAACCAGCGCTGGGGCTGCACCCAACGAAATGTTACTTTTGATAGAAAAATCCATGGTTTGCACAATGCCAGCTGTCTCATGTGTTACCATGGTGCTGCATTTTAGCCAGGCTCAGTTGTTCTCAAGCTAAAGCACACTGATTAAAGCAACCCTCATTTACATAACATCACAAGCACACTTGTGTAAATAAGCCAGCATGTGGTCGCAGACTTGTCCATCCATCAATCTTCGATTGCTTATCTGGATCTGTCACAAGGCAGCAGTCTAGACATTCTTCCCCCAGGGAAACCTCCTCCAGTTCGTCTGAGGGTTTCCAAGCCAGCCGAGAGATATAATCTCTCCAACATGTCCTGGTTCTGCATTGGAGCCTCCTCTCATGCTTGAAAGACCTCACCCTCCACAAGGCATCCCAGTCAGATTGCCAAAGCACCTCAACTGGTTTCTTGCAATGAGGGGAAGTAGGCCATATCCTGAGCCCCTCCCGAATGACCATGCTGCTTAACCTAACCCCAGCCACCTCGCTTGTTTGCATTCAATTCAATTTCATTCATGTAGTGCTAAATTAGGGCTGTGCGATATGACCAAAATCTCATATCCCGAAATAAGAATTCTATCGTCCCAATAACAATATAAATCACAAAAATGTAACATTTTCTGTAAATTCTGTGAATCTCGGGCAGCTCGACTTGCCTGAAGTGTTTCCAGCTGCGTGTCATGTACCTGGAGTCGAGTGTTTCAACAGATGCATGAAACGATACATTTTTAGACATAAGTTGTAACAGCCGCCGTTTTCTTTGTATTTATTACACAGGGTGCTGCGGGGAAAAGCCTGTTCTAACATTTGAGTCTAAGGTCTATTTTTTTAGCACCTGGCGGCTCTTTTTTACTTCTCATCCGTAAATAATCTGCTCTTTCACGTGATTCAGTTTATTTTGAAAAGTCTCAACAGGATCTTGAGCTTTATTGTGAAAGGTTTATGTGGAACATAAACAAGCGGACACGCGATGGTGTTACCGTCGTTGTTGCTAACGCATAAAAACAGGTGCTTGTCCATCAGTAGTGTGGTTATATTCAATATAAGAGAAATAGAGAACTTTAAGAAATTAATATAGCCACTACAGTGACCATCAAAACATGAAAAAATATTGCCGTAAACAGTTTATTTTGCGACAGCACAAAACAAACATAGCTTAAAATGAAACGATAGACGTTTTTATATCGTTATATATATCGTTATATCGAACAGCCCTATGCTAAATCATTACTACAGTCACCTCAAGGCTGCAATCTCATTCTTTCATTTAGAGCTCATGGCTCATATCAGTAGAAATATAGATTACTGAAATAATAAATAGACCAATGGAAAATGTGACAAGATTTAACTCAGTACTACTTTTAACTGTTTGTTTTTGCAATTATAAATACAGATGAAAAAGCTATTAAGTTCCCTTTTTGAGATGTGAGCACTGTGTGCAAGCAAGCGCCATAAATATAGCCAAACGTAAGAGTAATCTTTGTAAGAAGAGGTTTGGATGAAGTCTTGGATCCGTAATCACCAGACTACCATTCTATTTCATTTTCACAACGCTGCAGTTTCCAGCTGTCACGGTAAACCCAAACATGCAATAAAATTTTGCCAAAAACATGCTCCTCCAAAGCCTCCAACGCCAGTAAATTAACTGAAAAGAGCCAAGAAGTCAGTTGGGAAGTGGAAAGCCGAGATCTCAGAGGGAAAGCCACACTGACTGACAGTGAGTGATTCAGCTGTGTACTCAGTTTTAACTATTACAACATGCAGAAAAACAGAAGTTCCAATGACCGGCTCTCGCCTTCACACTCCACCCTTTCATTTAATAGCATTTTGGCTACAAGGAGGAAATAAGGAAGCCAGACTGTGAAAGCTGACAAAGATGAACTGGCTCTGCATTCATCACTGTTCCCGCTCCATCTCCTTCTTCCTCAGCGGCCCTCCAAATCCATCTATCCTGTCTGTGGAAGCTGCCGTTTTATAGAAACACAGAGTCTTAGAGCAAAATTTTTAAAAAAGAAAAAAGATTTTCTACTGAAGCAAAATACGATACAGGTTCTGACTGCATAGATCGTCATTAGATGAGTCCTAAGTGTAGACAGGAGATGTTCCTCTGCGGGAAGCTCAGAGGCCCTTAGCAGGATGTCATGCCAGAGCCAGGGGTCTCACGGGGCCATGCAACCACTGGACATGCCTCATCAAAACCATGAATTATTCATGCTTTAACTCCCCTCTCAAATCAACTTTTCACAGGCTGGGCAGCTTCAACAAACCCACTTATCTACAAAAATAAAAAGGCATGCAGTGAATTCAAACATGAATAACACTTAAAAACACCTCTGAGTCCACCTTCTGAGTCTACAGCATCCAGAGCATGAGTTTGAAAGATTTAACCAGCTACTTCTTCTGGGATAACCCATGTAATCTCCTCAAGTGGATTGTCATGTTGTGGCAGGGCAAAGCACGGGCAGCAGAGGACAGAAGGAAGGGACGCCCCCCTAAAACTCCGATCTATTCGTGTGACACACACTGTAAGGACACTGAACATGAGCCTACTAATGGAGTTAAATGCCTGCTAAGTGCATTAATTCACGGTGTTGTGTCAAAGCACCCACCCCAGCCCTGAGAACTGACACCACACAAGTGAAACCAGTCGATCACATGGCTTTAACAGAGGCAAGCTGTGCCATGCACTTGGCAACAAAGCCACAAAGTCCTTCTCTGGCTACAAAGTGAACTTTTAAGACTCTTCTTTAATTCCTGCCTTTCGTTGTCTCCACTCTCACATATATCCTATTTGTCCCATGCGTTTGTCTTGATATTATTCGATTCATTTCCTCTTATACATGTGCCATGGTCATAGTAAGAGCTGCCAAAGGTTGGTTGTCTTTATTAAATATGGACACAAATTGTGGTAATGCATCGGGCTCTTACAGCAATTAGATTTACCACACATCTCCACTGTCAGGCTTGAACTCTCACATTCCCTTTGTGTCTGGTAAGATGATACTTTGCCCCTCCACTGAGGTGTACAGATCACTACCGCTGCAAATGACAGCTGGGTGTCAAGCCCCAAACAGTGCAGCAGCTCAACCGGAGAGATCTGGCAGGAGACAAGGCCAATTCTGTGATGGAAGGGGGGATGGTGGTCCAAGACATGCTGCATGCAAAAACAAAAATGCATCTGGTTCTGCCCAGTCGAGAGCTTGATTAAAGCACTACATGGCTCTGCAGAAAGTAAAAACATGAGTCATTCTGACACTTAACCAAAAAAAAACAGCAGCTGTTGCACTTGGTCAAAGGCAAGCACAAACAAACAGTGGGAGAAATTAAAAGTCTCGCACACATCTGTTTTGCAGGAGTAGTTTGCCAAAGCATTAACTCTTTTTCACAAAAACGGCGATAAAAAGTAAAGTTCAATGTACCTACGGCACCTACAGTACACTCCTACTTTCACATTCTTCAAGTAAACATAAATTCTTATCTTTATACTTCATAAAACAGCTGTTGTCAGTAGCCGGCTCATTGTCAGTTATAAAGGCATGGTCAGGCCTTGGTACCAACTATTATGAATCTCAGCTTGCTTTGAAAAACAAAAAGGAAAATGCAAACATTGATGCAACTACACCAAAGGGATGCTGCAGCTCACGTATATGCCCCTCCTGGGGAGAAAAAGCACCACACCGTATCGAGACTGGAGGGACAAAACCTCCAGGCTGACCGCACAATTTGGTCAACTATTGTTCAGAAACTAAGGAAGTATGGAAGTTATCTGGGTCTCTCTTGAAGACACTTTAAGTCATGTCAATACAATAGCGTCAATTTCAGTTAACCTGATTTGATCTTCTTAAGCTGCAATCAGTGTCTACACATATGCATGGTTATTCAACTTAATGCGTTTCTTGTGATTACACCGGACTAAGTTATGGGTTAGCTGGCTAACATTAGCTGAGAGCCCATTCCAGGCAGATGACGTTTGCTACGATGACACCCGTTAGCTCGCTATTTCCACCTTTGAGCCCAGTAGTAAACAATATATGATGGCCCACATTCAAAGTACGTTGGGGGAAGGAAGCAGCAAGCCTTTAAAAAATAATTTCAGGTCTAACGTACCTATACACTGGCCCACGGGAGTACTGTACGGATTTCCAAGTAAGAACTCCATCTTGACAACAAACGATCCGCCCGGGAATGACAGGCTTCGGCCCAGAGGCAGTACTATCAAGTCCCGCCTACCACGGAATTCTATTGGTTCAAAAAGTTGGACACGTACAGAGGTTTTTGGACACGTGTGTCTACAATCGATGTCAGTCACAGTCAGTAACTGAAGCTATGTTCAACAAACCTTTTTTACGTGCATGCATTTAATTATTACAGAGGGGAATAATAACTCTAAACAGCTAATAAAAACAATGCAGACAAGGATTAAATCCTTGAAATATAAAAAATGAACGTTCATTGTTGTTGACTATAAGTAGCTCATATCTTGAAAAAGCTACCTACCCCCCCAAAAAAATCACAAAATGTGTGATCCCAACTAAACACAATTTCGACTTGTGGTGCTTTTATGAATATAAGACATACATGTACATTACAAGATAACCTCAGACTTAAAAGATATAATTTATGGTTAAAGCAAAACTCTTACAGAGTGTTGTCTCAGGTTGATGCCTTTTTCAACGGAATCAAGTACTTGAATGCAGCTTAAAATGAACCTGTTGCTATGTAACTGAGCGTAAACAACAGGGGTAAGTAGCGGCATACTGAATTTATCGATAACACCAGCTGGTTTTCTGTATTTTTAAGCGTTTTACGGTGACAAAAACAGCAGTAGTTAGGTTTGGCTTTGGCTAAATTCATTTATTTATATCTTAGAGAGCCAATGACGATGTTTGGCAGTATATTCAGAGCAATACCCTCAAATGTGCATACAATGATGTGAAAAAGCATTTACCCCCTTCCTGGTTTCTTAAGTTTTGTTTGTTTTTAATGACATATTTTTCTTTTTCCTTTTTTTATCAGAGTGTAAAGTGATGCCAAGTCTGTCTCCGGTCACAAAACAGCAGCATGAGCTCGGAATATATTATCTCTGAGCCCACGTCGATGGACAAAGAGATCCTGCAGCATGCTGTGCAGGAACAGTTTAAACCAGATCACATCCTGCGTTTTCCAGATGCGAGCCAAATCCACTTTAATGAAGTCCAGAAATTAAGACTGGAGTACAAAAGTAAGGGGAAATCATGAAGGTGATGAGGAATGTAGCATGCTGATTTTGTTTGAGTGAGAGGATGCTTTTTTATACATTTTCAGACATCCTGAGGATTGATCACTTATGGGACTTCTCATCTTTGTCCAAACTTGAGTTAAATAACAATGCTATAGAAAAGATCCAGGGACTGGACCATCTGATTAATCTGACGTGGCTCAGTAAGATACAAAGTTTGTTCTTGTTGACCAAATGATGTGTAGGCATTGCCATCTTATATCAGCTCAGAATCTACTGGTAATGATGAGAGTCATTTCGAATGTGTCCCTCAGATCTGTCATTCAACCAGATTGAGAAAATAGAGGGTCTGGAGTGTGTGCAGAAGCTTGAAGTGCTGAATCTATCCAACAACAAAATCTCTGTCATTGAAAATATGGACACACTTGAGAACCTAACTCACTTCTTCATTTCAAACAACCTAATTGGGCAGTTGGATAATGTAAGAAACGTTTCTGCATTTGCCATGCAAGTATGAGGAAACAGTCATGTGATACTGTTTAATTAACCTAATGCATTTCAAAGGTGCTCTACCTCAGGAAGTTCAAGAACCTGGCAGCGTTCAACCTGTTTGGAAATCCTTTCCTAAACGAGGGTGATTACAGATTTTTCATTGCTGGCTACTTTCCAAAGTTGATGTTCCTAGACTCCAGAATACTTGACCAGAAGACAGTAAGTGCAAACCCAATCTACATTTTGTTCTGCGCTTACCTTTAAAGTAGCATTTACATACACATTTACAGAGTATGAGTATACCCAAGCCTAGGACATGTATGAGGACAGTGAGACAGTGGTGAGGTGTGCAGAAGGAGTGACAAATTAGTTCAAGATGGGGATAGGATTACACCTGAGCCCCTTTTTGTTTGCAGTGGTGATGGACAGGTTGACTACGATGTTTGCAGATGAAAATGGGATCCGTAGTGAGAGTAGCGAGCAGGTGGAAGAGAGTCTGGAGAAATGGAGGTGTACTCTAGAGAGAAGAAGGAAGGTCAGCAGAAGCAAAACAGAGTATGTGTGTGTGAATGAGAGGGAGACAGATGTAACAGTAAAGCTGACTGTACCCAAGCTTGTTTGAAAGTCATCCTCATGTGCATTTATGAATTGCTGGTTGATGCAGAGTAACAAAATTTTATTTCTGTGTACGTACAGAGAAAGGAAGCATCTATCAAATATCACTATGTCCTTGAGAAAATGAGACTTGAAGAGCTGGAGCTACACCAGGCTGATGAGGCTCGACAAAGACACGAAGCTGAGCTAAAATTACACCGAGTACTATCTTTTTTTTGTGACTCATCTGTTGATTTGTATACATACAGTGTGACACTTATGTTTTCTTTTTTGTTGTTTTTTGTGCAGGATGCCTTTGTGGAGTTCCTTAATGGCTCTTATCTGTTTAGGACCATGTTTAAAGATGATCCAAAAGCACAAACACTGCACTGTGCACCAGGAGTGGATTCTCTGATTCAAAGATATCTTTTATCATCCTGGTTTCCTGATCCATGCGTGCATTGTTATTATTGTCATAGTACAGGCTAAACCAATCATTCCTTTTGGTTCCTTGACCTTGCACTTACATTTGAGCACCAAATGGGGGAGCTGTGCACACAGTTATTTGAAAGGGGCTTGGATGAGCACAAACGAAGGGAGACAGAGGTGAAGTCTTTCTTCAGTTGCCAAGAAAAGGCTGTGACAGACTGCCAGGAGAAGGCATCGCAGATGTTAGCAAAGTTTAATCATGAACACAAAGAGGCAAGCAGGGAGCAATCGCCTTTTCCGTGTGCACAGTGATTTACATGAATGCAATGACTCAGCATGAGATGATATTTTGTGTTTTCTCCTTTAAAGCGGACAGAAGAGTTGCAGCAGTTATCAGACCCAGAGGTACGCAAAGTCAAGATTGACCACTGCAATGGTGAAATTAACCGGCTCTGTAAAAACCTCATGACACTGGAGTTTCAGCTGGTCAGCGAGATGGAGGTTAGTGTATGCTAGAGTTTGTACACTTGTATAATTTGTAAAATATCTCAATGAAATCTCATGAAATTTCTTATTTTAGAAATTATGTTAAAATACTTGATATGTCATGAGACTGTATGTCTGTGTTTCACATTTAATCAAAGTGATGCTGCTTGGTCATTTTAGGAGAAGATCAAAACTTTTGAGAGCAGAATCTCAGACATGGTTAGACACTTCAGTGAAATCGCACAGGGGACATATCCTTTTTTTTTTTTACAGGAAAATAACAGAACTGCCTTAAAAACATTCTAAAAACACTCATTACTGTATGCTAGTAATTATTTAGTCATGAGCACTCCGACTCACTGGTGACCTGTCCCTGCAACCTTAAACTGGATAAGCAGAAGAAAGTGGTTCATCAACTCACCAGAGTGTCGTAGCACAAATGAGGGTTTAATGGGGTTTAATCAAACAGATGTTTTCCTGTGTGAGTGATTTCTTTAACAAAACAATACGTTCTCCCACTGTCGAGATCTTGAAGATGACTATTATCAGAAGATGCAAATAGTTGCTGCTAAAATCTTGCAGACAGTGGCCAGAGACGCCCGGAAGGAGGACTTGCCAGATGATGTTATAATGGTCAGTGTCGTCCTTTATAAGCCAAACTGGTATTACAAAATATATGGTTACAAATATATGGCTGGAAAAAAAACCCTGCAAGTTTCTGTCTCTGTTCTGGTCTTTGTTAATCTAACAGATAACTGTGCATGCATAGAGGGTGCAGATCATTGCGTGTAGTTTTCAAAGAGTGAAAAAAGAAAAAGAATCAAAGAAAATACAAAAACTGCATTATATTTTTTTCAATTCCAGATCAAGTATAATATATTTCTTCAGGTGAGCTTAAAACATGGTGCGCTAACAGTATCACTGGCCTCATTCTGTCACTCCTATGTTTTATATTTTAGCTGTTTGAAGACAGAGATGCAGTGATAGATGCACTGGCCACAGCCCACAATAACCACCTCCTGAAGATCAATGACCGAGAGACTCAGCTGACTACAGGCATCAGTGCCTGGAAGGAGGCCCTCATTAAGGGGGTAGAGAACTGAAATTACATTAAACAAACAGTCTAATGTAAAGTCGACATATAAATCTTGTACTTACCGTCATTTCTTTATATGTTGCTTCCAAGTAACCAAATCTTTTTGTATTTTTTAAGTGATCTTGAGCAGTAGTTCTGTAGGATTTCCAATAGTGTTTCTTGAGAGAACAGAATCCAAAGAAGAGATTTGAATGTCCTTCAACTATTCCTGAAAACTACGACTAAGAGAGTTCAAACTGTTGAAGAATAAAGGTGGACATAATAAATACTGATTTTCAGGCTCTGCTTTGTTTTCCAGTTGTTTTTTACGCCTTTCAATAAATCACTGCATGCATTTCCCATTTTCTTAGCAAAATATAAAGAAATGAGAGGGGGACTCAAGACCTTTGCACTCTATTTTAATATTTCTTTGATCAAAGACTATTTATTTGTTTGATGGCTTTGTTGCTTTTTACAGATACGAGATGAGGAACTGAAGCGGAACCGCATGAACATCTCAGACATCCACAGATATGTGGATAATTTGAGGGAGCAGCTGGAGGAGTTGATATAGTGGAAACCACTTGGCGGCCTCAAGAACACTTCAAAAACCACTGTCAGTGAATACAGTTGTATTCACAAATGAGGGTTCAAACACTACCGCTAAAAGAGAAAAAAAGATACAGAGCAAGAACCTATACTCGGGGCATGAGCTACTGTGCTGTGAAAAAGTATTTAACCCCTTTCTGATTTCTCTGTTTTGTGTGTGTGTATTTATCACAGTGGCTCTGTGATGTACTTGCACACTCGTTCTGCAAATGAAAGGTTGCTGGTTCAGTTCCAGGCAGAGACACAAATCCCCTTTGGGGGAAGGAAAGGCATCTATACAACCACCTCTGCTCACAACAAAGAAAACTGCAGTTCACTACAAACAAATTCAGATAAGACAACATCAATTGCCCTGAATTTCTCTGTAAAAGATTCATTTATTGGTGAAAAGGCCAAAACGACCAAGGAAAGATAAGCAAAACGGTGGAGAGTAAACAAGGAATCTTAAAATCCAAAAGCCCTTGAAGAAGTGAAAAGTGGAGGTCGTAGGTCAAAGAAATTGAATAGAAAATAAAGAGAAGAAAGTTATAAGTGCAAAGCGGGAAGTGCTGAATGTCAAGAAAGCACAGAAAGGGAAGAAAAGGAGAAAGCAGCAAGCAAAAATACAAAACAACTGTTGGAAGTGCAGAAAGTATTTGAAGAGGAGAAAAGTGTAACACAGATGGCAAAAAAGAAACTTCAAAACACAAAACGGGAAGCGGAAAATCCCAAGAAAGAATTACAGGAAGTCCTTAAAGCGCTTGAAGAGGAGAAAAGTAAAAGGCAGGAGGCAACAAACAAACTGGAGAATGCAAAGAAGGAAGCTGAACAGCTAAAGAAGGAGTTATTGAACATAGAACCAAATGTACTGATGAAGACATCATGGCCACAAGCTGCCCCAGACCATCCACACTACCACCACCATGTTTGATTGTTGGCATGAATAAACTAATATATTGGTATAAATCAGAAAGGAGGAAAATAGTTTTTCACAGCACTGTAAATGAGCATTAGTCTAGAAAAGACGGTGGTGTATGTGAATAACGTGTCTTCTTTTTTCCATCATGGATGTTTAACCTGTATTTGTGGACGGTACAGCAAATTATGTTTTTTTGGGAAGCGGTCCTGAGTCCATGCACTGGAATAGTACCTGTGTGTAATGCAGTGATTTTGAGCCTTGTCTCTTAGGCAGAGATTTTCTCTGAATCTTTTGATGATTTTATGTGCTGTAGATGAAGAGATATTTAGTCTTTACAATTGCATGTTATGGAACTGAAATTGTTACACAATTTATATACACTGTTTTTTTCCAGATTGGTGAGCCGTTGACCATTCTGCTCTTTTGTTTACCTAATTATGTAATTGAACTGCTGTGAATTAACCTTAATTGATCTCAACACTTTCTAAAATATTGTATGATTCTATGTGTGATTTCAGCACTTCAGACCCATGTTTTTATTAAATATACTAAATCATGCAAACGTGAGTTGGTCGCTGTCTGTGTTAAAGTGTATAAATAAAGCTACTGTTAAAAGAAAAAAAATCTTGAACTGCGTGAGATTTGAATACAATACCCAGAACAACTTTCGGTGCCTTTTCCAATAAGAATCCAGCTGAAGCAGCCGCGCGCCAGTTCCCAGCCAATCAAATTCAGGGAAGAGGCGTTTGGCAGAAGCGAGTTCTCGGACTAGGTTTTCATTTGAGCGAAGTTTTGGAGCTCTGAGAATTTACGTAGCTGACAGGCCCTCCTGTCTCAGCACCCACTTTTTCTCTCTGCAACTGCGGTGTTCCCGGTGACAAAGCTCATGACGGTTGCTGACGGTGGCACTTTATCGCTCGTCATGCCTGTCCGAGCAGAGTACCGCGGCACCACCCGATCGGCCTGCCCATCCTCGGCCTCTCTCGTCCCCCCTGCCCCGATCAACACCCACCAGCCGGGGGTGGCCACCTCGCTTCTGTACAGCGGCGCACAGTTTCGTGGATACCAGAAGAGTAAAGGCAACTCGTACGACGTTGAGGTGGTCTTGCAGGTAATTTTGTGGTCCTGTATAGTTATATACAAAGTCTGCATATGAGTAGACTCTGTGCATCCATAGTTGCTAACTTGCTATCTTTCCAGATGTTAGCTTCATTAGCTCATTTTTTGTTTTTTGTTGCTTTTCCTACATGTTGAGCAAATTTTGAGCTAGCTTAATGACCTTATGTCTTCTTTTGGAGTTTGAATTTGGGACAACTTGGCTTTAAAAACCGATGTTTCACAGACAAGTTGGCGTTTAACCCCCCCTCAAAGCTACCTAAATTGCAGTATTAATATAGCAGCTTGTGTTGACACAGCTAATATAATATTTCCCATCTCGGTGAGCTTTCCCAACAACTTACAGACAGTTTTCTTGTTACCATGAAGGATTTTGTGCTTGTCATGTGGAACCATCAGTAAAATATGTGTTCTGTCTTTCTCAGCATGTGACTGTAGAGGACTCGTATTTGTGTGGCTACCTGAAAATCAATGGCCTGACTGAGGTAAGTCTCCCAGCTACATCATGAGTAGTAAGACTGACCTTTATTCTTTTGAAGTCGTTCCACTGACTGGTTTCCACTCGCTTTAAGCAGACTGCAATGTGACACAGTACATTAGACCAGTGGTTCACAACGTTTCCACTTCAAAAGCAAAAAATCTTAAAAATGTAATCAATCAACTTATGAGTAAAAGAAGAGCCAAGTTTAACTTTAGTTAAATAATGGCCAGCTTGGTTGCATCAACCAACTCCTTTTTTTTTTAAACTTTCCCTAGAACAATCCCATTCATTCAACTTAAGCAAAGTAGATTTGGCTAGATGTGAGGCCTTTAGGGCTAACCACACATGCTTAAGCTCAAGTGTCAGCTGTATACCCATTACATTATGTAACATATGGAAGCAAAAAGGTCAGGGGGATCTTGGGTTAAAGTTCAGCTTTGGCAGAGCGAGTGAAAGATGAGAAGTCAGGTTGTGAGTGAAGGAGTTGTATTAAAGCTCACCTGGTATCCATGAGAAAATTAAAGCAAGGGAGCATTCCTCTTAATGCTGCTTTATTATTTTTATATGTTATACAGTACCATATTTTAAGAAATTGTGAAAGCAGCCAGATGAAAAGGAATAATGCACTACATCTATTCTGCTGATCCTGAAGCTTAAGCCCTGCCCATCAACATGTAAATCACAGGAAATCTGGACATTTGAATAGGCTATTTGCACAGTGCAGGATAAATGCAATTTTAAAACGAGTACCAAATCACGTTGCGAACAGTCCCATTTTATCTTTCCTTCCTAATTCATTCTGTGTCTGGCAGGAGTATCCGACTCTAACAACGTTCTTCGCTGGAGAAATGATCAGCCGGAAGAGGCCATTTTTAACTAGAAAGTGGGATGCGGATGAGGATGTGGATAAAAAACACTGGGTAAGTCCTGCTGATTTTTAATTTACTGATTTTAACTGATGCAGGAAGTGCTGTTAATAATTTTACAATGATCAAAGAAGTAGTACTTGATCATTAAAGTGCATGTGAACGAACAACGTGCTTTTAGTTTTCTTCATCATTGATTTTTAAGTTTTTGGACATGTGTCAGTTTTCTCTAGCTTGGAAAACTGGATACCATGACACAGCTTTTTCTCAAAAGGGCACAGTTAAAGTCGCCACAGCTCCTTATCTAACCAGTTTGAGGGCAGTTTGTGTCCTCATGTCTTTCAGGAAAGCCTTTCCTAATGTTGTGTGTGGAGGTCATTGCTTCGCCATTCCTGATTTTTCAGCTCACAATGGGTGTTAAATAACACCTATTGTGTTATTTAACACTTATACTACTTTATCCCCTACTTTATCTTCTACATGGCAGAAGATAAAGTAGGGGAATCAAACAAAGCCTATTTCACAACAGTTTTGTTTTTTTGTTTTTTGACCTGATATTAAGGAGTATGAGTAGCACAGGTGTTACTAATGATGCAGTGCTTTAATTAATGTGATTGCTGACACCTGTTTACCAACTCTTTTATATCCAAATGGTTACTGTCAGAAGATCTGTTGCAGATGTTGGTATTTATTTCCTGCTCTTCTGTTTTGTCACCAGAGCAAGTTTAAGGCTTTTTGCAAATATGCCAGGAACTTCAACTCTGATGACTTTGACTATGATGCACTGGAAAACAGTGACTATATCTTCATGAGGTGGAAGGTTGGCACTCTGTCATTCATTTTAGCTGTGAAATTAATTTGTGCGTGTTCTCAGCTTGGGGTCAGACTTTAACCTCCGCTCTTGTTGTGCACTCAGGAGCAGTTTCTAGTTCCAGACCACACGATCAAAGATATCAGTGGTGCCTCCTTTGCAGGTTTCTACTACATCTGCTTCCAGAAGTCCACAGCCACTATTGAGGGTTACTATTATCATCGGAGCTCAGAGTGGTAATTACTAATCATTAAAACAGTTTTCACACATGCACCTCAGCCGTGTGACTTTGCATCCATGTGTTTGTTGGAATGTTGTGTAAAATTTTGCAAATCGTAAACTTTTATTCACAGTAGTACAAATAAAACGATCAAATGTACCATTTTAAGAAAAATATTAACTCATTTGTAATTTGACGCCAGAAACGCGTCTCAAAAGTTGAGAAAGGGCTGCGTTTACCAATGTGCAGCCTCCTATTTTCTTAATCTTCTGTAAACTACCTGGAACGGACAAGTTCAGCTGCTGGGCTTTCGTCTTCATAGAATTGTAGCTGCCCGAGTTGGCTTTGTTGTACATTTTGTTTCACTATGTGCCAAATGTTTTTAGTTGGTGAAAGGTCTGGACTGCAGGCAGGCAGTTCAGCACCTGGACTCTTCAACCATTAAGCCATGCTGCTGTAATTGATGCAGTATATGGTTTAGCATTGTCTTGCTGAAATATTGAAGGCCTCCTGTGGGGAGAAAAGACTTATGGATGAGAGGATATGTTCTAAAACCCGCATATACCTTTTAGCACTGATCGTGCTTGTTCCAGATGTGCTTGTTCCAGACAAGCTGCCAATTATAGGCACTAAAGCACTCATATACCAGAGAGATGCTGGCTTGTTAGAGTATTGCCAACAACAAGGTGGTCAATCTCCTTTTTTGTCATAAGGACCAGCTTTCTTATTTTCCAAAAGGTATTTCAATTTCCTTGACCTTCAACACAATCTGAATCTGAATTAGAGAAGCAGAAACAAATGAATTGATGATTTTTAGTCTTGTGTGCTGATTTCTTCAGATTCTCAGTCTTTGATATGATACTGTAAATCAGATATTCAGTCTTCACAATTCTGTGTTATGAAACGTTTTTCTGAATTTGTTCAATAGTTTCTAGATGCGGTTTCCTGTTGATTGCTAAGCTCCAACCATCCTTGCTTCTGGGAAACTTTGCCTCTCTTAGATGAACTTTTCAGACATGTTGTTACATCAACTTCAAAATGAGTTAAAGTATTTAAGTGTTACACTTGTGCAGTTCAAACATTTTGTTCTGAAATTTACAAATCACTGTTTGTTTTTATTCATTTGTACAAGTTTTTTGGTATTGGGATTGTAAAGGGGAAGAGTAGCAGTAGTAATAAATGCTCTGCTACTGAAAGTAAGCCAGGACTATATGGTGGCTATAATAGCAGAAAAATATAAATTGGGAGGTGGTGCAAAGTGGGAATAAATTGGAACAGTATCAGGGTTATTATGTATCACTAGAGGGAGTCATCCCAATTTGAATAGGTGTACTCACACAACATTGATATAATTCCTGAAGGTAATAATATTTCCTCATGTTTCCTTAAGTTTTAAATTGCTTTCAACAGTCCTTTGTATTCTTTTCTATAACTTGTTATGGCCTCATATTGCTGTCATTTCACTCATGTTACTGCCTGAAAGCATTGTAAAACCTACACAAGTTGTAATGTTTCTAATCTCTCTGTGTGAAGCACATTTACTGTACTTAGAATTAAATGTGCTAAATAAATAAAAATTGCCATTTGTACTATTAACTCAGTCAGCCGAAGGACTGATGGGCTTAGTCCATCCCAAGGCATCAGTCACCCACAATTGACAAAAATGACTCCTCCTCCTACAGGTTTAGAAAGAATTTAGTCAAACATGCAGACAATGATCACTGTATGATTCTTTACCCAAACCATGCTTGATGTTTAGGGCACAGCTGCCATTTTACAGGCGAAATTCTTAAACGCTGATACATTGTGGTATAATGTGCACAATAATAATAATAATAATAATAATACATTTTATTTAAATAGCGCCTTTCAAAGCACCCAAGGACACTGTACAACAGATAAAAACAATGTTTGGCTTAATTATTGCAGCAGATGAGATCCTATCAGGAATGTTTCCAGAAGTGTCTCTCTCTTTGCCAGTTGTTTACTTTTTCAAATTAAAACTGAATCTGCGCCATTTGCAAAAACTTTGTTTTTGCAAATGGCGCTACTTTGTTTTCAAGTAGCGCCGGTTACTTTAAGTTTGCAGTTTTTCACATGAACACATGTCTCATGATTGGTTTTTGTTTTTACAACTTATTTCCTGCAGGTACCAGTCTTTAAGCCTGAACCATATTCGAGAGCACAGTATGCCTATTTACGAATTTCGGTGACGTGGCTGCGCAGGGATGCGGAGTGACATAAAAGAAGGTTCATGCTGCCCTGTGCTTAAACGGGATGGAGAATCCTTTAATGGCAAGAATGGAGGTGACCCATTTTCCTCACTGGCAAGGAAAAACACAGCTGGTCAGACACTCTTCTGCTGGACTGCTAGAAAGAAGGCACAGATGAAGAACCATAAGGAAGATCTGTGAGACGTGGAATTTTCTCACAGTTGCTGCGGCAGATTGAAATTTGTTTTCTGGTTTTGTTTGTTTTTCCTGCACTTGTTTAAAAAAAAAAAAAAAAAAAAAAAAAATTCCTCAGTAGTTCAAAACAGATTTCCTCCATTTGTTTCTGTTAAGACAAAGTGTTGCTTTTAAAAGTTGGGGGGAAAAAAGAGTAAAGCTTAATATATTTATCTTATTTGAAAGATACAAAATCTTTGAGGACCTGTGATGATTAACGAGTTAGACGCGCAACAAGCAGAGATGCATGAGAGCTTTTATGCAGGTTCTATATGATCAGGGATGGTATGCTGCTGTAATGTTCAGGCAATATGTATTTTAGTAATCCTGATATGGATGAGCTGGAAATGAGTGAAAACCTTGTTTGTAAAAAGCTGCAGCTTTTTGAAAAATCATCTCAACTTTGTAAAGTGTTTATCTATGCAAGCCAAAGATTAATAATGGGTCGAATTTCTTACACCACTTAATTTTAGTTTTTATTTTAATTTTCAGATCACTTCTGTTTAAGGGAGATTTATTTATTTTAAATCAGGAGTAAAATGTAAGGGGGGGTTAATTATACTAACCATCAACCTGAAGCACAGCAACTGTAACCAGTGACTCATAATCTAGTTGAGATTGAAAGTTTTTTGGGGGCTTTGTGCCAAGTAAAATATTTCTGGGAAGAGTTTGGAAAACTTCAGATTGAACACAAGAAAATGAACGCAGAGCTCTGACTGCAGTGTAACAGATTGGAGAATCAAATAATGTGTTGCTGTAATGTTTAAAAGCACCTGTGTGTGGTTGTGAAAGCTTGATGGAAAAAGAATAAAACCACCTTTGATGCTTTAGGAAAAACCTGCTGCCTTACAATTTTAACTGTAAAGCTCCTGTTGTTTTTAAGATGGGTGACTAGTTTAATGTTGCTTTATTTGAAATCATGAACATTTAATAATATGAGAGAAATTGTGTGTTATCTGGCTAAGCTAAAGGTCAGACCTCGGGTATAAGTTGATGTGCGAATGCTATTCACACTACAGTCTTTTAACTCAAGCGAGGAGATCGCAGATATTACTATCCTAATGACTCTTGTTACATGATTAACAAAAAACTGTAAAATGTGCAATGTAGAAGAAATGTTTATTTTGGAGTCTGTAATTAAGTTTTATGAAAGATGGTGTATTCTAACTCTGCTGTGAGGAGAAATAAATAACTTTGATACATGTTTGTATGGTTGGCTGCTCTTTAAAGAGTGTTTTATAATAACAGCAATTACTTGGTACATTCTGGATCACATGTAACAGCAGCTAGCAGTAGCTGACCACATAAACCAAACTGCTTTTCTCTTGTGACCATCTCAGCCGATATCAATACTGTTGTTTAGCTGTTTGGGCAATAGTCCCTCTTTGTAGTCCCTCTAACATGCTGGAAGTGCTGAAAAGTCAAAGTTAACCATTGTTTGAGTCTCACCTCTGTTTCAGCCTGAACTGAATGAGGAAGTAGTCACTAATGCTAACTCTATCACAGTGACCATGAGAAAGCTATTTATCAAGACTTGGTCAAATAAAAGAGTTTTGCATTGTTAAACATTTCACTGGTTTGATCTTCCTTTAGTGTTAAATGCTAAGAGAAAATAAAATATATCTATGTTGAGCTGCTTCAGCTTTTATTTTATTTTATTTTTTTAAACAACATTTAACCGAATGAAATGGGCAGAGACTAAATGAATATTTTTGCTTTGGGGGTAATCCGCAGGCTGCTGATGACAGTCAAAGAACATAAAAGTCTAGAAAGAAAACAAAAATTGTCACCACGTTGGCCTACGTGCCACAGATCAAAATTCCTCAGAAGACAGGAAGAAATATTTACGGCCCACAGAAGGAAAGAGATGCCATTTCCCCCCCCACTAACTTCCTCATCTGGCTTTAACAATGGTGGTTTCTTTCTTAAGAAATTAGTTATGAGTAGTTGTTTGCAGCAATACTTTATGGTCTTTGGTTTTAGACCAACAGCAGGAAATCCAATAATTACTCACACACACAAAAAAAACCCCACTTTCATAGGCGTGCATAATAAATCCATATTTATATATCAGAATCAAAGCTGTATGGATTTAAAAGAAGTGGTGCTCTATATTGTCAGGTATTTTTGTAAATTAATAAAATAAACTAGCAACGCTACCATTACAAACACTAGTTGTTCTTTTCATCACACCATATGTGTAATTTGTGCTACTTCATTATCTTCATGATCATGCAAATTGATCCTCTAATATATAAAAAATATTTTTGATCATTTCTGTGTTTAATTTATTCTACTTTTTTTCTTCTTGTAAAAAAAAAGTGCTACACAGAACGAAACATCACACAACATATTATCAAATAAAATTAACATTAAGCTTTACATTTGGATTAGACAAAGTCTCCAGGAAATGAATGTAAGTCACTGTCATGGAAATACAACTCTGTGTGTGTGTGTGTGTGTGTGTGTGTGTGTGTGTGTGTGTGTGTGTGTAACAAAGAAAGAAAGAGAGAGAAAATCAGGAGTGAATTCTGTTCATTTTTCAAAAATGAACACTAAAAAAAACAAAAACTGCAGTTTTATATAAATATCAATATAAATTCAACTTTTTTGTGAAAATATATTTTGTGTGATATGCACCAAAGCTAATTTGCAAGAATTTCCAGCACGTACACAACTGCAGATATTCCCCCTCTTGTTGCCTACGTAAACCAGAGCCACACCTGCTCCGGTGGAGGAAGCATAAATTCACCTGCAGAGCCTCACTGCTTCAGTCACATACCTGGAAAAGGCTGAGCTAGTTTGACTGCAGCTCCCAAGCACCCATCTGTGCTGTCATTATGGAGGCTAAGCAGTATCCCATAAGCATCCATCTAGTTGGAGTACTGCAGAAGGAAAAGACCAAAGTAAGCAGCAAAGGATTTTTCACTTTCCTGGTTCTATGTGTGGGTATTTTTATTAAATAAAATGCGTGCCTCTCCTGAGAAAAGCTGCCTTTTCTTTTCCAGTTTTACAAGACTTCTGTGCTTTGGTCCGACGAGAGCAGTGTTGTGATTTACAGACGTTTTCGAGAATTCATGAAAATGCACGTGAGTATAAAACACCTTCTTTCTTTTGTTTTTTCCAAGTTGCACATATCCAGGTAACTTTTGTTTTGTTACTCAAATTATTTCTCACAGAAACAACTGAAGAAAGCATTCCCACCTGCAAACAAGCTGAGAAAATCTGACAGAATTGTCCCCAGATTTCGAGGTATGTTCGGGTCATGTAGACCACACTTGCTGCTTTACCAGAATCGCATGGTTCACTTACAGACCGATGGGATTGTAACTAAAATCGTTCTCTGGGATTTCAGAGGGGAGGGTGAAGCAAAAAAGTCGAGGGAAAGCCCCAACCAAGTCACTGGTGCGCCTGAAATATTTGCAGAAATATTGCAATGCAGTCCTGTCCTGTGACCAGCGAGTGTCTCAGTCTGCAGAGCTCATCCAGTTCTTGAACCCTAAAGACCAGGACCTGCAGCCGGACTTTGCCAAAAACGGGTACGGCTAAACATTTATTGCACAATAAATGTTTTATAATAGCTTTTAGTTAAAGTTACCCACACAGATCTAATTTAGGGACCGTAACATTTGCAAAATCTTGTATCTGCAGGTTCAATCTTCTGAGTGCACGAGTACATAAATAAATATGTATAATGCAAGATGAATGCATGACTCTGACATTGTGCACGTCTGTGTTGCTCTTCCTCCTCAGCATCATCATCATGCCCCCGGAGGATGAACTCAGAAGCGAAGGACTTCACGCAAACGCCGGTGAAGTGACCCAGCCGTTTATCACAGAAGCATACACATGTGTCGCCCCGTATGAGACCAAAGACTTCAAGAACAAACCTTTGAAAGTGGCCAAGGGTGACAAACTCGATGTGGTCATCAAAGACAAAGGAGGTGAGCCGACAGCTGTCAGTTAACACGGATAACTCAATGTGAGCAGTAAAATGCATGTTTCTGGTGATTCAGGATGGTGGCTGGTGGAGACTGAAGACAGGCGGATGGCCTGGTTTCCTGCACCCTATCTGGAGAGGACAAATGATGATAATGAAGATCATGAGGAGATTCCTGAAAAAGGTACACATAGCTACAGTTTTTCTTGTACCCTTTCTCACGACATTGCACTCTCATTATGTATTTCCTTATTCAGTGAATATCATTCATGTTGCAAAGCATTATGTCTAATCCTTCATTCTCTCTCCAGGAGCACTCTACACTGCAGTCAAGAGCTACAAGGCCACCAAAACTGACGAGGTGACCGTAACCATAGGTGCTGTGGTGGAAGTCCTGCAGAAGTCTGAAAATGGCTGGTGGCTCGTCAGGTATTCTAGCCTGGGCCGAAACTTTTATTTCAAGTCATTTTGTTACAGATTCTTGCAAGCCATGAGAGTTGCAGCCACCCAGATCTTTCTCTGTGACTGCCAAAAAGCCAGAAACACAGGTTGGGTCGCATGAACATTAGTACGCAACGATGAACAGCTGATAAAAGAAAAGACAGGCTCAGTGAGTGTCACTGCCCTGTCAACCAATCAGCAGAGGCAACTCAAATGAGATGAATAATCTATTTTAAGCACAGACAGTTAATGACCGATTATGTTTTCATGGTAATTTCCTTTAAAAAAGAAATTTAAATCTCTTCCGAATTTAAAAAAGAATAAATAGAAGAATTTTGTACCATAGCGCAGCCTGATTTAACTGGATTTCTTTCATAACATCGGTTGTCATGGCTTAAAGTAGCACAAAAGGCTTGACACTTGTTATGTAGCCATGTATGTGGAAATAAAAGAACGATGCATGATTTCCAATTTTAAATTACTTTGATTTCTTCATTCTTGTCATCTAACAGATCCAGTGGGAAAATAGGTTACATTCCCACCATGATACTGCAGCCCCACCGCTACCCTCATATTCATAACACTTCCCATCACCTGGATCAGCGCCGCCACACTTCCCTTCTCGTTCCATCCTCGAATCTGGAACAGCACTCCCAACTGAGCCTCTCCCAAGGAAGCCTGCTGCAACAACCCCCCGTAAGGTCTTCGTCACCTCTCCTGATCCTGCCGGAGAGTAGGCAGAGGTCTGTGTCTCTTGAGGTTTTGTCTGAACAACCTCATGCACAGCCTGCTGCAAACAGTACCAGTGCTGCTACCGATATCTCCACTTCACCCACCTCTCCCTCTCACCCTCCTCCGCCCGTGATCACGGTGAAGATGGATGGAGAGGACGAAGAACGCGTCCTCTCCAGGAGTCAGACGGAGGATAGTGAGGATAGCTTTATGAGCGACAGCACCGACTTCAGCTTCAGTGACGACTCCAGCTTTAACTCGTCCCTGAACCTGAGCCCCACTGCCAATGATGAATGGCTGCGTCTCAGCCGCACGCCTCCACCGGGGACGAGCAACACCCTCAGCCCAACGAGCGGCCCAGGGGGGAGGCTGATCTCGAGTGTCTCTGATCCCACGCTCTACAAATCACCCAAAATACCCAAGGTGCCACCCAGACCGGGCGCCCAGGAGATCCTCTCCCGGTGTACTTCTGTCACCCGCAAGAATGCAGCAAAAGGTGCTCTGTCACCCACACAAGCTGAGATCATCAGCCGATAAAGTTCCTGTTTGAAAAATAAAGCTTTATTTTTGTCACTGTTGAAGTTATAAAAGTACAGAAGAACAACTGTTCTTTTGTTTTAGATGATTAGATGAATATGTGATAGCTCCTGTATCATCACCACTTTGACCAATCGATCATTTAACATGCCTCGTTTTATTTTCCATACTGGAAGCCTTGTGTTGTGCCTTATATGCATATAGTCTGTGTAGATTCCACAAACGATGGCTCATCTGCTCATTTTGACTGCAGGAAAAGTAAATGTTTGTCTGCATACCAGTGTGTGGAAGTTGTTTAAATTCCTGTTGAAAAACCTTCGCAGCCTATCCCGCCGCCTGCGCGTGCGGATAGTCAACACAGAACACACACTTCATTATCTGATCTGGGTGCACTCGTGTTACTGAGTAGCTGAGAGCAAATAAAAGCATTTTGGGGAACTCAACCTGTTTGTTTTGGCATGTTTCACATCTAAACCTTGTTTCAAACACATGAAGTTAGAAGGAAAATGTTGCAGTTCGGTTTTGAATGTCATAAAATCAGAGGCTTAGAGGACAATCTCGCCCTTGCTTGGGTTTCCTCCAAGAGCGCCGGCTTCACCTGTCATTTAAAAGCATGATAGGTTTACTTCTTGATTCCAAGAGTCAACTAGGGTTAAAACTCTAGTTGAGCTGGTTTATTCAAGACTGACATTTCCCATAATGGAACTAATAATACACCTTTAGACATCCTGCTTTTGATTTCATAGCTTCAGCTTGTTTTACACTTTCAGGGGCCTGTGCTGCAAAAACCTGGATGAACCAGGAAGATAAAGCTGTATCTAAAGGACATTTCTCAGCAGTTTTCCATGCTGAGCATGAATCCTCAAGAACTGCAGTCCTTATCTAAAGCCTGCCAGGAAACCACAACTCGTGCTGGCGCTCACTCATATAGCAGATGGTCTGGTTCTTGTGCATTTTAGGCACTTTATAAAACATGCCTCATTCACCTATTGACACACATTTGTATGAATGTGTGTCAATGGGTGAATTGACACACTTTTTTCTACGCCTGTGCATCAAGTGAATGCCATGGGTTCAAATTTAATTTACTCCCTTTGTAGCTATTTTATTTGAATAAAAATGTGACTCCTTTTAAATCAAACATTGTTTATTTTATTAACATTTGCAGAGAAAACAAAATACTCCACGGTTATATGAGGAAACTGCTGTCTGGGTTACATAAAAGTGTGTTCATTTAGTTGAGCTGGTAGATCAGGACATTGCACTACTGCAGAACAACACAATGGCATGTGGTGAGTGTGAAGATGGTCCAGGTTTCCTCCTCCTGCGCGTCCCCTTTTCCTCTTTTTTGTCTGAAGAAGTCAGGGTCATTAAAATCTGCATGGAGGAGCTGATGCTTTGGCACATGACTCAAAGTCTGTAGAGAAGCCGTCCTAACAAATGTTATCATTTCACATCTGAACTGTCTCCAGCTGCCAATAATCTGAGATAAGAAAACCTATTGTTTCCAAACTGATTCCTGTCAGCTGGCAAAAGTCTGGCACTGTTGAGCCGAAGAAACCGGGAGACCTTTTGTCTTTTTAACTGTCGTTTCCTCCTCCTGGTCTTCCTCTTCAGAGCTCTCCTCGCTCTCAGAGTGGTGCTTGCCGTTAGTTTTGTGGCTTGCTTCGTTTTCTACTCGCCCGTTGTCGGTGGAGGCTTTGTTGGTGGCACTGACATCCTCGAGCTCCTCTTCATCTTCAACACAGGAATCTGGATCTTCGTCTTGTTCACCGTCGCTGTCGTTGCCTTCGTCTCGTCTCTCGTAGCTGCCGCTCTTTTTCTCCTTGTCGATCACAAAGAAAGGCTGAGCCTGTGCCAGAGGTGTCGTATCCATGTCTTCATCTTGGCCCGTACTGGAGAAGATATAATAGCATAAATTAGGCTGACAAACCAAAAATATTTTCATTTAATAACCTCACATAGCATGTTTCCAGCTATGGTTTAAGGCTGCTCCTGCACTATATTTGGAGAGCCAAACGGTCAAATATGCAGTTAAAAGTTGACACCTCATTCATGTCAGCGGTTCTTCATTCTAATCAGATTGGAAAACAAAACAGAACAAACACAAACTTAAATCTGATTTTGTGGTGAAATTTTCCTTTAATATAACAATTTGCTTTGAAACCACAAACAAGCAGCACGAGAGTCAATATTAGAAAGGTGCCAGTGTTGTTTCGGAAACACCGGGATTCAGTCAACATTCAGCGCGGTGATTTGTCAAAGCATTCAGAGCAGAGTCTCACCTGGACGGCGCTCCGGCCACTCTCATTTTCTGCCACATGTAGTTCAAGAACATGGAGGCCTGCAGCAGACGCCCAATCCTCTGCATGTGTCTCTCTGTGGGGAAAATGACCATAAATAAATAAAAAAGAAAGTAAAAAGTCTGTTAATTTACAACAGTTATTTTTTCCATGTAGGAAAATTGATTGTACTCATGTATATCATGTTTAATAAACATGGCATGAAGACCAAAACATCCTTTTTTCTATTGTCTATCCAGTTTCTCTAATTAACCACATACTACGATCAAACCCCTGCAGTCTGAACTCTTTACATAACATTGCACACACCTAATTTTCACAGAACGCTACAAGGAAGTTTTCATTCCTTTAACTCTAGTGTTGTATTCCGTATATGAGACACTTATTTGTACGTTTCTGAGTGTTTCTAAAGTTTAGATCAATCTGTGGCCACTTTGAGTAAATAATCAGAGTAAAAGCTTTTTCTTCTTTTTTGTCTGATGCAGTTTTGGTCTCTGTTCGTCAAAGCACTCGTTCCCCCTCCTAACCTGTGTATGGAATGAGGCCCTCAAGGTGTGATCGGGCTCCCTGGTACTGCAGCAGCTCTTCGGGGGGCAGGTGTGTGAGGAGCACCTGTAGGACAGCCTGGGCATTCAGGCAGTTCCTGGCGTTGGCGTTCCACACCACACAATAGCGCAGAAGTGACTCTGAGTGGATCCAAGAAAACAGAAGAAAGAAAGAAGGAAACTTCTGTATCACTGTCTGAAAGGTATTGGTATTGGTATTGTGTAAAAACGCAGTCATTCTCTTTTTAACAGGCTACCTTTTTGATCCTGTCGAAGCTTCAGCAGCGTCTTTTCCAACAGCTCGGAGCTATTCTCTCCTTCACGGATCGCTGGAAGCAACATGGGACAACTAGTCAGAGTCAGCAGACAGTCTGTTCATATAGGGTCTGACACATGGACTCAGCAAACTCTCCCCAGAGTCCATCCATTCAGCTGTGTCGATAGCTCAATGTTTGTCTCACTTACGGCTGTTCTTGGCAATGGCACAGTTGTCTGGTGCCATCTGAATGTCATGATTTCTCAAAAAAACAAACTTGCAGCCAGTGACATGAAGACACCTCCAAAGCAAACTGTGAAACACCAACTATGAACCATTTTATTTTTGTCCAACTATCCTGGTGTGTTCAAATTATACTATAAACAGTGGAAGGATTAAACTACCAAACAAACCAAAAAACTCCTTCTGTGGAAGCCAATCAAACATGGTGTGAAAAATGAGCATTGCTGTTACAAAACAGGACATTTTCTTCCATTTCGATGAAATTGCTTTGTACTAACACAAATAAGTAGTGCATAAAATCCAAAATACTGAGACGTTACAGCTTCAGATTAACAATATGTCACTGCAGTTTTAACTACATGTCACTGAACAAAAGAGAGTGAGCGCAGAAACGAGGTGTGTGTTATTATATGTTCACAGACCCACTGTTTGCCAGAGCTGCATGTGTCAGTGCTCGAGTGACTCAACGTTTAAAACAAAGCAGCCGTACAGAAGAAAAATAACAACATTCAGGTAACCACAGGTGAAAAGCTAAAGGACAGGCGTAGATGAGCATCTAATTTGGACTTTACATGCACACAGCTAATCAAAGTCAGACACTAGAGACCAAAGTGTGATAGATCCGTGTGACAGAGTCGGTACCTTTGATAACAGTGAGCACGGTGTGAGGCTGGTCCAGTGAGATGGCGAGACCCAAGGCCTTCAGATATTTCTTCCCGTGGAGCAGATTGGACAGCTCTTGCTGCCTTCAGACACAACAAACATACAGGTGTGGGTTCGTAGGCAGAGACACAAACACACGCGCACACACCTGTACATACTGCAGGGAATTTGTATCATGATCACTTATATTTATTTCCCATTAATTCAATAAATGTGCTGATATTTATTCCAGTAAAATTCAACTTCGATTCTTTTTGTTAATGATTGTAGAAAAAAAGAAATGAATTGTCAGTGACCCCCTGACAGCCTGTAGGCCTCTTTTTCCCATCATAACAGAAAAAGTTATTATAGCTCATTGCACAGACTATCCATTTACCGTGGACTCACTAATGGTGGAAACATAGAAACTTTCCTGTCATTTATTTATTTTTCTGTCAATTACTTTGGAGTAATATGAATGGAAATGAGGGTGGGCAGTCTGTATCAATAGGGAACGCTGTAAAACGTAATAAAGAAAGAAAATATAGTTAAAAATGATTGTTTCAGATAGTTGATGAACTGTGGGCCGGAATTTGTGGGAATCATGCAAAGCTACTTTAGCACGAATAAAAACATGGAGCTGAAATGTACTCTTTAGAAGTGCAAATTAACATTTAATACAGAAATAATTTCTTTATTGTTTCACATACTGCAAACCTAAAGTTTTTTGTGCTTATCAGAACAGCAAAGCACGCACTCCCACACTCATACTTTACTGACAGCTTTGACCTGCGAACCTCCACAGCCAAGCAAATCACAAAAACCATCTGAGGGACTTGCTGACAGGCAGGATGTCAAAACAGATGGAAAAACAAAAGCAGATCATGTCTGAGTGATGTTGAGTGATCCTTTCCACGCGCCTAAAAGCAAAACAAAGAGTGTGTCCACCCCTGCAGACGGAGTGGAGAGGAGGATGGATGGTGCAGGTGTGCCTGTTCTACGATAGTAAATCCCTCTTCTTGCTGTCAGAGATGTCGTGTGCAACTTACTTGAGTATCTGATCTTCCTGTTTCGCCTGCTCCTCTGCCAGCTCTATTTCAGTCACATCCTAGATGTGCACAACAGAGAAAACTGTTGATCTACTGAACACACATTTTTTTTAAACACAGAAAGGGAAAATAAATTTTAAAAAAGCAAACATTACCACCTAGATAAGATGTGCACTGAATCCCTCTTAAGGGATACTTCAGAAGGTAAACTCCTTACTTTCCCAACAACACAGCTACCTGACTGATCACTTTGTGCAAATGGTGATAAAAACAAGTGGCTGCTGAACATGGAAAGTATTTATTAACTGTTAAAAACCCCGAAATCAATTCTTCAAGTTAAAACTTCCTCTCATTGTCCATTTCAATCTTTATTTAACTTTGTGGATTACACCATGAAATCCATTGTATAATTGTGACGCAGTTTTTAGGTTAAGTCATAGAGAAAATAGCAACACTAATGGAAAAACAAGTGAAACTCTTCGTTTCGGTGGTCAGTATTTGTTTAGAAGACTGACTGCTAAGTGTTTAAGGCCAAAGTTACCTTCCCTTCTTATTCCCTATCCAGCTGGAGGCTAGCAGCCGAATGCTACTTACCGACCACACGGTGATGTTAGAGTCTGCTGAGCCAGTAACCATCTTGTCATCCTTGCGACTGGCGTGGAGACCCCACACTTTGTCCTGGTGGGCATCCAGTGTCTTCACACACTCATTGGTCTTGATGGTCCACAGCTTCACTAAACCATCGGAGCCACTATGGAAAACAATTATTAATTACTGTGTGGAAACCAGACACAGCATGAAAAACCCACCAGACCTGATGTTACTGATTTACAGTCCAGTTCTCGTGTAATTTGGCATACGTTGTCATTTTCTCCCCGTTTCCCTTCCTTAAAAACAGCTTCTTGACACTCTACCCTTCCACTGACCATTTCTGATGAGACTTCAGTGAACAGTAGTTGGATCAAGAGAAAGGCCAGTGCATCTCACAGATCCCGTCTCCCATATTTGCTGAATTTTTCCCTCCCCTCATCGACCTGACTTTCAGATACTGCAAACCTGCTGTAGATAGATTCTTCTGTCCTCCACTTATTTCCTCACTTTTTTAAGGACTCACTGCAAATCACAGCAACTTTTTAGCTCATAGCACTTTGGAAATAAACTTGTTGGTGCAAAAGCACTTTTTTTTTTTTTTTAAACATGTGGTATTATATTGGTTCTCTATTATTTATTAGATATAATTATGAGTTAGGTGTTGTTTTATGCTCGAATTATTCATTAGGTCAGTGTCAAGTGACTTTACAAATAAGAAAAAAAAACATTTTCCTGAAAATGGTCAGCTACAAGGATTGAACTGAAAAAATTAGCCAATATCCAGAAAAATCCTTTGAATGACGTTCAGAAAGCCTGGAGAACTGTTGCTTTAAGACCACATCTAAAAATTACAAGAAAGTCCGGCTCTTTGGAGGAAAAAGAAATAAAGAAATGAGGGCTGGTTAAAGACTTTTTCACTGTACTCTATTCTGATTTCTTGTATTCTTGCAAACAACAGGGAACAATAAAGATGGAAACAAAGATACAATTATTGGTTCTCCTAATTTTCTCAATCTCTGCCATCTATAAACACCAAACCTCTGAAAGATATTTCTCACTGAGACACAGACAAGCCTCTTGACCTTTCAGCTTTGGTTTTAAATTACAGGGTTTGTTTCATTGTCTTACTATAAATGAGGAAGCTTTGCAAACTACGACAGATTCATATCTGAAATAAGATGAGAAACAAAGCCATGATTTTTAAAGACTGGATTGGGCATTCACATCGATCCGCAGCGTGGGCGTGTATTTGGTTTCGTGTTTGGTGCGTTTACCTGGTGAGCAGCTGAGTGCCTCGGCTCACAAAGATGACCTTAAGAACCGATGCATCGTGGCCCTCAAATGTCTTTAAAAAAGTAGTAAGAACAAGGAACATAGCTACAAATTAGACCTCACTAATGTCTGAACATGATTACTTTTATGCAACACCATAAGACTGCTGTGATTCTGACACGTGCACAGTAAATGTCCCACCTTGAGGCAGCTGAAGTCTTGCAGGCTCCACAGCTTGGCTGTGCCGTCTGCAGAGGTGGTGGCCAGCACTTGGTCCACTGGAGAGAAGCAAACGGCCCAGACGCCACGACGGTGGCCCCGAAACACCCCCAGCAGGCTCACCGTTCCCTCCCCCGTCAAGGACCACAGCTTGGCTGTGCGATCCTGGGAACCTGAAGCCAGCAGCTTGTCATTGGGTGATACGGCAACACTGTTTACATCCTGGAGACATGACGTGGAAGGTAGAGGAGAAAAGGACCAGACGTTTTAACAAAACTGATGCGCTTCCTATAAATGAAGGTTTGAATGAGTACATTTATTTTTTTTAAAAGACTGAAGTAATAACTGAATTGGGATCAACTAATGTGATAAAGTTTCCAAAGAAATTCATGATCTCCACTCCTGTTGCCACACTGCCTGCAGTTCCACCTTACTCTTGAGTAACCAATATCCTACTTCGGTTTAACCTGGTATAAAGAAATACGCATAGCACACTATTAACTGACTTTTAATTGCTCTGTTATGCTGCCAAGTAAGATGAGGGCAGGTGTAGCAGGAAAGATTACTTTCCAGCATCGTCCTGGAAATCAGATCCACGCCTGAATTATTCTGCATTTCCTTAACAGAAGAGGACAACTTGTTTAAAGCTGTTTACACAACTGGTGGCTGACTCACCAGTCTGTGTGTCTTATTATACACAACATCTGTGGAGTTATTTAAAAAAGAAGCATCATAATCTAAATTCTTCTTGTTTTAAATTATATTTAAATAACAGTTACTGACTCGCAGTCATATGGCTCCTCTAACCTTCCTGAGTCAGGTGTTTTGCAGAATATGAAGATGCCACAGTGAAGCCTTTAAACAAAAAGAATTCAAGGGATGAGTGGGTAAGTGGGTAAATAAGACATATTTACCCATTAGTCTAATACAGAGAGATGGCCAGTCTTTACTCATGTTTTCTTGGCTTCCTGTAACTATAATATGAATGCTTGTTATAAGTCACAGTAATTGACCAAGTCAAAATGTTGAGTGACTAAAGTTAAATTGTACTTCTCAGGGAACCAGACAAATGACATTTTATTTTGGGCAGTCAGCAAACCCTTCAAGCATTTTTTTATAAATCAGATTTGACTGGTGATTCTTTACATGTGGTTTTTATATCCTAGAGACCACTGATTATGACTCTCTCCTTAATTTATTTAGACCTAAGCTGTTCCCAAGATGGCAGCTACACGGTGACCGTGAACCTGTCCTGCAACTTTAATGTGCTGGACAAAATGGACAAGATCTTCTTGGACTGTGACCAGAACGTTCTGCCTTGTACCTTATCATGTGCTTTCTCTGTGGCGCGGGCAGTTAGCTGATGGATGCCTCCTTCTGCAGAGCAGTCTGCAGGTAGATCCCACACCTTCACGGTACAGTCCTGACTACCAGTCGCAACGAATGATGCCTTCATCCTAGGCACAAGCACAAAGACAAGGGCAGATGCACATACAGTCATTTCCCCCTTCAATTTGTATCTGTGTTGTCACGTGTGTAAAGAAAACCAGCTTATTAGACGGCTTGCAGGCGGAGTGTTACCTGGAGCAGGAGATGGAGCCCACAGCGTTGGTGTGGCCGGAGCCCTGGGCCACACATCGCACCTGACCACTGTCACTGTCCATATGCCACACACGCACTGACCTGTCCTACAGATGCAATATACAAATGTTACTGCTGATCTAATAAAGGGGGGATAGCAGCTTTTGGTCACATATAATATATAATTCTTCGTTCTTTCTTTTAACCGTACCTTTGCACAACTTGCAAAGAGAGATCCTTTTTTGAACACATCCAGTGTGAGGACCGTATCTGAAAAAGATAAGCAGATAAAAAAAATTAAGCAGAGATAAAAATCTACCAACCTGCTCAGCAAGTCCCAAAGCTGAGACAACCACATTGTGTCACCTCTGAATTCTTGCGCAAAAACTTGGCAGGAACTTCATTTCTGTTCTTCCAACCTTACTTTAAAAACAGCTGTCCTTAGACTTTTACTTTCTTTTTATTGTTAGATTTTGTGCTATACTACATTACGTATATTGTAAGTCTGTTGCAGTTACATCCCCTACAAATAACTATGATGACTTGTTGGCATATGGCAGAGATGTTAAACATAAGGCCTGGGGGCCAGAATCAGCCAGAGAAAGACTCCAATCCGGCCCACTGGACATTTTTGGAAAATGTGAAAGCTTGGTCTTTAAACTGTATTTTGATACATGTTACAGCTCGTCCTGCTGATAAAGACCTCATCACTGCCATTTGTATTATACCAGAATTACTACATCAACATCTCTTTATCATGCAGAAACAGTTGAAATTACAATTATTTATCCTATAATAAGATATCTCAGGTATTAAATGTTTAGTTAAACTTAATTTACATTGAGAGAAAGAGCCGTTTCACTACTCAGGCCCACTCATAGTGGGCTATATGTGGCCCATCATGTAAAATGAGTTTGACATCCCTGCTTTAGTGCTTCTCTTATTCCATGTGAGGTGGTTGCTGGAGCCTATCACAGGCTGCATCCTAAGCAGGTCATCAGCCAATCAAAGGCTCAACACAGAGACCGACAGCTCCACACTCACAATCAAACCTACAGCCAATTTAGAAACCCCATTTAAACTGACATGCATGTCTCTGGACCGTAGTTTGCTGTACATGAATACACATACTGTAGATGTTTCCACATGTAAGCATACACACACACTGCCCTCTGCTGGCGACTCACCTGTGTGTCCATAGAGGATCTGGCAGCTGTTGGTGAGCAGCTCAAAAACCTTCAGCTGGCAGCTGTTGGTGGCCACCACGATGTGACTGTCACCTTTTCCCAGAAACTTCACGTCCAGCACCTCGTCACTGTAGCCCACAAACTGAAGCGGGAGGGTGAATAGAGCAACCGAGGAGAGAGTGACCGTTAATTCTAATACGCAGATACACAGAACAGCAAAAAATAGAAACATAGTGAACCTTCTGAGATGATACCAATGTTTAAAATAACAATTACAAAGCTGGTGATGATATATTTTATTATTTTTGTAAGATTTTTTTTTACTTCTCTCTTTCTGTGTACCAGGGAAACAAACAATTCCATAAAATTGGATTTATTTTTAATGTGTATGTAAAAGTAAGAAAAAGAAACAACTAACAGATGTTTGAAGCTGTAGTGTGATGTCATGTAAGTATTGGACCTAAGCAGTCCACTAAGACGTGACCCCAGTACCCACTTGCTGCTGTGTGGTGAGAGCAGGCAGTTGATACAGCAGTATGTTGTGCTCTGCAGTGACTGTGGCCAGTCTAGCTGAGGCGGGCAGGTGAAACAGGTATGTCAGACTGCGGGGGTTGTCGTTCTCATCCTCCTCAGAGGCAGAGGGGAGGGTGGAGGGAAGGGTCTGCGTGTAGACACAACGTGCCGTGCTGGCCTCCCACACCCTTAATACACCTAGGAGAAAGAAAGGAGAGAAGATGAGTGACACAGAGGAGATAAAGGACATTTATATAAATATTTGAGGTATTTAGCAGCCAGACCTTTGCTTCCAGCTGTGATGAAATGCAAGTCCTTGCTCTTTACTCCGATCTCAGCCAAGTCTGTACTTCCAGGAAGAATTGCAACACCCTCCACAGCCTGTAAGATCACATACACACAAATAAAGCTCCAGTTTTTCTCCCCAAATGAAGAGCACAAAATGTATTTAAGTTAAAATGAATCTAAATTGACGAGCTCACCTCATAGACTGGAACAGTTCTCTTGGCTTTGCGAGTTTTCAGGTCCCAAACTGTGCAGATCTTGTCTCTGCCAGAACTGAAAGAGCACAGGACTTTAACACACAGCGCTACACAAACAAAAAGGAGTCTGAGGTTGATTTAAAATATCACAGTACCTGACCATGGCGTTACCATCGGGACTGAAGCTAAGAGATGTCACAGCACTGTAGTGGCTCTGCAGGACACACACACACTGGCTGGAGCGCAGGTCCCATATCCGGATGCCACAGTCCAAAGAGGAGGAGAAAAGCTGCAGCAGGTCGGTATTTGGGTGGAACTGGACCAAACTGCACAAAGACACAAAATATTTCCTTTTTTTCTAGTTTCTTCATATTATTGTTAAATCCTGCTACATATGAGCATTTGTAAAAAATACTGGCAGCCACCAGTGCTACCTCTCAACCTCCTGGTAGATAAACCCATTGGTATCAATTTGAAACTTCCACATTGCCTCTTTTAAGTTATCACATTAAAATAATTGTGAGTCCAGTTCATGAGAGAAGGAAGAGCTGAGTGGAAGACTGACAGATGGACTGGTGTGGCAATAGTGTCCATCACAGACACTGCACCAATCTGCTGTGTAAAAGAGTGCACTGAGTATAAAAGCCAGTTGAGGTGGTTTGGGCAACTGATCAGGATGGCATTTCCAATCCAGATGAGAAATGTCATCTCTCCAGCATGTCCTGGGCATGTCCCACTGGGAAGGAGGAGGCCCTGAGACAGGCCCAGGACATGCTGGCTAGGAAGCACCTTTGTACCTGTTTAGTTTCCTGCCCCTGCAGCCCAGACCCAGATAAGCAGCAGAAAAATGGTATGATATACGAATATACATCATTTTAAGACGAGAGCCTGAGACTTACTGTACAACACCAGATGACCCTTTCAGGTTATGAGTGCAATACTGCTTCACCACATCCCAAAGTTTTATTGTGCCATCACAGCCACCTGCAGGTAAATAAATAGAAACAATATATATATATATACACACACACACACACACACGTAGCAGATATCAGGGAGAAACTTTTCTTTTTAATAAATCATGTGATAGCTGACCTGTGGCTAGGAGAGTAGAGGTGGAGTCAAAGGTCATACTAGCTACGGGGACAGTGTGAATAGCCCTCCAGGACCGACTGCAGTTAGCCTGCCTCCAATCCCACTGCTTAAGCAGCAGCGCCCGGCTGGCTGTTACCAGCATCTGTGGAGACACACGAAGCAAAGACCAACTGAGTCCTGTTGTACAGGGTGACAGCTGAAAATACTGAAAACACAAATGTGACTGATCTAATGAGAAGTGACTCAAGCATTTCTGTACCTCATCATCACAGCTGAGAGCAAATGACGTGATGTCCTCTTGATCATCCTGCCGGAGAAAAAACAACAACAAAATATTCAGACAGGAAACATGGAAGTACATTTTATTCACAAAAAGAAAGAAGACTGATAAATCACCAATGGCAATAGTTAGAATGAGGTTGTTGATATAAAGACAGTAAAGATGCAGTAGCCAAGGTTTCTGTGAGACAAAGGCTCATCACAGCAGGCAGTGCTGTTTAATTTGGCAGATCATTTGGGCTAGATGCCCTTCATGATGTAACCCCAAAGCAATTTGGATCTCTTTCCAAGATGAAACTAGAGATTTTTCAATTGTTAGATGTGCATGAGAATGCAGATTCACTGTAAACATATTAGAGCAGATGTTTATGAAGGTTTATGAGATGTTTTACACGTCCAGCAGGGATGGAGCAATGAGGATCCGCTTTGTGGTTTCTCACAAAATCGCAAAAAAAACAAAACAAAAAACCCCCCAAAACACAGTATCTCATTCTCTGACTGGGAGTTTATGAAAGAGTGTTTGGTGCACTGCTGTGCTAATATGCGCTGAGATAAAAAGAAGCATTTGAGATCCCTCTTGTTACAGTTTACCTGGAGAGGTAAACTGTAACAAGAAGGATTGAGGACACTGAGAAAAATCTTACTTTTTCAGTTAAAAAGGTAAGCGGACAATTTGGACTTTATCTCTTTGGCTCTGGTCGAGAGCTGGGATGTCTGCGACACAACCTGGTTAGTCTTCTTTGTATATTACAGAGCAGCTTGCCAGCAAAGTGCTCACTGAAAGGCACTAAGACAGGGAGTGATTTCTTCATGGAGGTAACTGCACGCATAGGGTGTTTCTGCCATGGGACAAACTGGCAGGTATTACAACCGATGGCTATCTAAATGTGACAGGAACAATGACAGGTGAAGGAAAAGAGTGACTGAAATTGGTATTTTCCCACTGAATCAGACACCAGGAGGTGTTGTATAAGTCACAGCTATAAATTAACCATGTTGTAGATATAACTAAAATAGTTAACTTCCCCAAAGCAAAATAGCTGAATCACACTGTGAACAAAAACTCTGAATGATGGAAGTTTAACAAATCCAGATGATGTTCTGTCTGCTGAGATCACCTGTCTGCTGCTCTTCACATTTCAACCTTGGACACAGAACTTGACTGTAATGCTCTTGTTCAAGTCCAAAACAAAACTAGATTTCCATTGCTCAACAAGAAATCAACAAATGCAGATGAAGTTATTAAACTACAGCTGCAAGTTTAAAGTCTTTTAAATGTTGAACAAACGTGCACATTTTGTTCACAGCCATCTCTGGGGATGTTGAATAAACAGTGACAAAATGTCTGTGCTTTTAGTTAACCTAATTCTCATCATTATTGCCTCATTGTAACATCTACTTTTACTGGGAGCAGTTTATATGAAATGAAAGAAATGCCAAGCTGAAGTCAGTTCAACTTTTTTGGCGCAGCCCTCCACAACAGACACAGGTTCTCATGTGGCCCTCTGGTAAAAATGAACTGCCCACCCCTGATGTTAGATGCTGAACTCACATGCTCAACACAGTGAATGATCTTCCCAGTGCTGATCTCCAAAACATTGACTCGAGAGCCACAGGTGCAAAAGATGTATTTCTCATCTTTGCTGATCTGAAAAAAAAAGGGGAGAGGTCAGATTTAAGGTAATCTTGGTTATTGTCATACAGACTTAAAACAGATGTGTGAGACTCTGAAAACATCTGTTTGTCATGATTATCAAGAAACAAAGTCAGGACTTTCTTGATTTTGCTGCACTTCCTGTATACCTTGTGCAATTCGCTCAACTTTATACCAGCGCATTGTTACAAAAGTGTCTAAAGTGTCACAAGACATTAATAGAAGCTTCACACACAGAGACACACACACATCAAAGCCGAGCACCCACCTGCACTTTTCCCCCTTTGTAAAATGGCTCGATCTTGCTGGAAACAGCATAACTGTAAAGGAACAAGAAAACGGCAACAGTGGATTCAACAACTTCATATAACACCTTAGCCTAGCTCGTGTTAGCTTGCTACATGATCTCCAGCTCACACGTGCAGCAAGCAAAACTCACTTGGTTTTGAACTGAAGGTTGGTATTTGCCATCTTGCCCGTGAGAAATGGCCCAAAAAAGAAGTGATGTAGAGAGTACAGGCGGCGTATACTACTTATTTCTCATGTCACACGTTGGCTACAGTCAACACCGCCATCCATCCCGCATGTTGACGGCAGGGTCGCACACGTTGCACGTCATCTGAGCGCACGGCGCGGTGATTGGTCAGACTTCTGTTGTCAACAAATGAACGCACAAACACCAAACTGGTGGTTTTTAAACTTTTAATTTTGACAGTAAACTTTATATAAAGCAAGGGAAAATAATCAGATCTATATGCTTATAATTTATTTATTTATTTATTTATAATGTAGTTCCTGAGTATCACAACAATAGCAGCCGTGTGAACCATGAGTTTGGTGCTAGAACAGCAGGGAAACGACGCTCTCCCATTATGGCTCCGATTCTACAGTTTAGCCCACTGTTTTCATCTGTCGAGCGCGCGCGCACACACGCGGTGTTTAGTCAGGAATGTTCACGTGTGTTGTATTGATAACGCGGGTGTGTGTTACTTATGTGACATATGAGAGGATCGATATGCAGTAAAACCAGCCCCCCGGGTTATGGAAACACGCTGAGAAAAATAAAACAGGAGATTGCCATGGTGAGTAGAGGGCAGCTTTTTGTTTTGGCGTGTGTTTTATATTTATTTATTTGTATGATTTTTTGTATTTTAATCTAGATTTAGCATCTCAGATTTATGGACTGATGCTCAGTAGGTCAAAAACAGATTTTGTATATAGCCAGAATCAACTCTATTATTTGCTTGGTATTTGAATTGTATACTAATACATGAGTATTGTGGCATTTTTATTATATGTTGTACTTTAACAAAGTAAAAATACCATTGAGGATCATTTCAGATCTTTTTTTTGTCATTGTTTAATGTTTTGTGTGTTAGAAAAAAAGATTTTTGGGAAGGGAGCAGACTTACTTGTTGTAATCATGTGATCAGTCATATGGCTTTCCAGAACAGCTCTGTTTTGTTGTCTCTCTTTTTTTATATTTTGAGAACACTGTGGAGAGGTTATAGACAGTCACAGAGCCATGGTTTTTAGTCTCAGGTATATCTGAAATATAAGATACTGTTTTTTCTACACACTGTGGCCACATCTAGGCAGACCCAGAGGTGTCAACACAGAGCGGGGGTTATGATGTGGAGCTGTTTGTGGACACTCCAGACTATGATCTGATCTGCACCATATGCCAAGGGGTCCTCAGATGTCCAGTAAGAGCTGCGTGCCACCACATTTTCTGCAAGAAATGCATCTTGCAGTGGCTAAAAAGGTACTGAATGTATCTTATCAGTATCCTTGGACAAAAGTTTTACCTGGCTTTTTTATTTGGTCAGAGACTCATTCCTAGTTGTCCTCTGCAGACAGGAGACCTGCCCCTGCTGCAGGAAGCCGGTGAACCCAAGCTTGATCTTTGTCATGTTCAAGCTAAGCAAATCTATTGGACGCCTGAAGATCAAGGTAGGAAAGGGAATTTGAACACATTTTTACATGATTTTTTATGAGCCCTAACAGAGTGGATACATTTGTATTTGCCTGGTGCTGCCTGGCATTTTCATGTGTGAACCACTTCATGGGACACATTTATTTGTGACTGTTTTTATTAAGTTATTAATAATAAGGACACCATCAAGACAAATTCTCTGAGCCCAAGATGACTTATTTGAGATGGAGGAAAGCAAATAATATAAATCCAAGCTAAAGCCACTGGATGTTTGACATTTTTGCTTGATAAATGACTGAAATGATTAGGTTGTGCATCAGAATTGTTTTGTTTTCAGTCGTCTATGGCTTGGATTAGCTTCTATCTCAATTCCTGCAGACCGATTTATAACACATTTATAACACAAGTCATTTTATTAACTATATGATTTCTTCTATGTGCTTCACAGTGCAAGAATGAGATCCGTGGCTGTGCAGAGACCTTTCCCCTCTCAGAGCAGTACTGCCACAGCATGAGCTGTTTGTATGAGCTAATCCCCTGCCCCTACCAGGGCTGCAGGGTACAGCTCCTCCGCAGGGACCTCGAGACCCATGCGCACCACTGTGAGCACTGGCGCCAGCCTTGCCACATGGGTTGTGGGACGATACTCTCCCACCGAACCCAGGCTCAACACAACTGCTACAAGCAGTTGAGGCAGGAGTACGAAGCTAGGCAGAGGAATCACAGGGCCATTGCCACTGCCCTACAGCGGAAGATGAGGAGGATGCAGAGCACCATGGCCCACATGAAAAGGCAGATAGGGCTTATCTGTGAGAGTCTGGAGGTGATGGATGATCTGCATGAGGTGGAAGAGGAGGACCTTGGGGAGAGTAGTGGTAGCTCTAGTGGGACTCCAAGTAGCAGCAGCAGCTGCTGAGGAAGGGAGTTAGTTGCTGGTGCTGGTTGAGCTACTGCTGTGTATAAATTCAGTATGTGTTTAATTCTTTGAAGGTGTGTGTTTTTGAGTATATGCAGTACTGTGAAAAAGTATTAGCCCTCTTCCTGATTTTAATAGTTTTTGCATATTTTGTTTCCAATAAACAAACATGTTTTTAATATTAGAAAAAGATAACCTGAGTGAATACAAAATGCAGTTTTTAAATGATGATTTCATTTTCTGAGGTAAAAAAAAAGCTAAACCTACCTGACCTGTATGAAAAAGTCATTCTTCTCTTGTTAATTTATGAATTCTCTGTGATTAACCACATTTTTGTGAAGCTGAGGTCAATTTCAACATTCACACAAAGGCTCTAATCTAAAAAAAACAAAACAAAACTGCAAGAACAGAAACAAAGTCACTAACATCCATCAGTCTAGAAAGGGTTACAAAGCCATGTCTGAGGCTTTGGGACTCCAGTGAACCACGGTGAGAAGCATTTTAGACAAACAGAGAAAACTCAAAACAGTGGTGAATTCCAAGAGATGATTGATGACTCATTCAAGAGGTTATAAAAAGGACCGAGAACAACATTTAAAGAACTGCAGGCCCCACTTGCTTCAGCTAAGGTCAATGAAAAAAGTTGAACTTTTTGGAAGGTTTGTGTCCTGATACATCTGGCAAGAGCCTACCACAGCATTTCATAAAAAGATCATACTGACCGTCAAATACGGTTGTGTTAGTATGATGGTCTGTGACCCTTTTGCTGCTTCAGGACCTGGACGACTTGCTATAATTGATGTAACCAAGAAGTCTGCTCTCTGCCGGAAAATCCTGAATGTCTTGCCATTATTTCATGAAATGAAGCCTAAGCGTACTTGGGTTATGGTTATTGTTATATCGTTTATATAACCTATTGTCATATAAACGATAACCTGGGTCAGGTTATCGTTTATATAGAAATTAATGTTAAAATTTGTTTGATGAGCCGGAACATGTAAGCGTGACAAATATCAAAAAAGAAAAAAAAGAGTGAGAGAAATATAGGAATGAGGGAAAATACTTTTCATGGTACTGTAGGCATCTGATTAGTGTTTTTGTTTTGTTTTTTGCCAGGTTGCAATGTAACCTGTTTAACCTATTTTGTAAATAAAGCTTTTACATTGTTATTATTACCTGTGCTGGTCTTATTTAAATAGATCAACTGATAAAGGTATTTCATTGAAATCTCACAGATGAACTAAGGCCAGGCTTGTTTTTCTAAATTTGACTACATAAGTCCCGGTGCAGGTCTACCTCCTGCACCGAGCTCTGGCTCACCTGGAGAAGCCTGGAAGCACTGTGAGGATCATGTTCTTTGATTTCTCCAGCAGGGGCGGAGCGTGGGGGTGGCTTAGTGGGCTTAAGCCCGGGTTGTTTTGTCAGAAGCCCGGGGTCTTTTGGAGTGTAATTTTTTCATAGTTAGATGCCTGGCTGACAACTGTATAAAACAAAAAGTACACACAATATTCGAAGCACATAGTGCACACTGTGGGAATTTACGACTGTGCGTGTATCCCCCCTGATATTGGTATGATCCGAGCTCAGGCA